TCTCTCTCAATCTCGGTTATTTTTCAAAACATTCCTCTCAACATGCACTCTGAATCCAACATGCCTAACACTTCTGTCTCAACTCCTAGTGAAAGCTCCTACGAGAAAACGATTTATACCCCAAATGAGACTAGGGTTCCTCATGCAATCACCAAGTATTTTTCTCCAAACGTGATTACATATGTTGTTCTTATCTTCAGTGTTGCTCCACAATATTCTACAAAAGAAATAGTCAAAACTCCTGTTGCTAAGAAGGCCAAGTCTTCAAAGGTTAGTAAGGTCTCTTTCTCTTCTAAAAAGAATAGGAAATTTGATATGTCTGTTGCCAACAAATCCCTGTGTATGAGGAGTTTATATCTTGAGCCTCTCCCAACTCCTAAGGAATATATTATTTTGACTTTTGATCCATATACTGAAAATCTTAGTGTTGGAACGGCTATTTCAAATGTTGATTTGAGTGTTACTGAACATGTTGGTATAAAAATTCCTAGTGCTGAAACAAACCTAGGTCAATCTGAGTTGAATATCATGGTGGAAGACACTATCGATGAGAGTGTCAATGTCCCTCCTCGTGAAACTATAGTCACTGATCTTGTTACCAATGTTGTGCCAGATGTTGAAACATCTTTGTCCCAAAATGATCAAAGTGTGGAAACCTCTCAAGAAAACCCTAGTCTGAGTGATGCTGAAAGAATTTCTATTGATAGAAAGTTACGTTTGTTTGCTTCTGCTGTTTTGAAGGAAGCTAGGTTTGGTTTTGTGTCAGATGCCACAACATCCAAGACTCAAACAACTCAACTTGTTGAAATATTCCAAGAAAACCCTCGTAGTAAGGATGATACTGAATCAGTTCCAGTTGAGTCGTCTGAGAAAAATACTCAAGAAAAATTTGTTAAAGTTGATGAGAAAAAGAGTTCTAGTGAAGAAGATTTGGTGATTGAAAATGAGGAAAGATTGTTTGGTAAAGAAATTGATGGGGAAAGGACTACTGAGTTTGTCAATGTTGATGAGTTAAACTCAGATGATGAGCCAATTGCAACTAGACTTCCTGTTGGTATTGCCAAGAGATTAAAAGTCGAGAAAGGAAGGACAGTTGCTTCTACAAACAAACAGACTAAGACTCCAAAGAAACGTACAAGTGTAGGACCTGAGAAGAGTTGGAGCAGAGTTGCGTCCTCTGCCTCCAAGAAGAAGTCCCTGAAAAAGAAGCAAGCTTCTCCTAGTGAATATGAGTATGAAGTGGATGATGTTGATCTATATGTTGAGGATATTTTGCTCTCTACCAGAAAAGTTGTTTCGGAGAAAAAGATTCCTGCCAATGTTCCAGAGGTGGTCATTGATAACATCTCGTTTCATGCAGTTTAGAGTGTTAAGAAATGGAAGTTTGTTTGCCAAAGAAGGTTGGCAGTTAAAAGATAAATTGGAAAGGATGTTCTTGATTGTAAGGAGATTATGAGTCTCATTGAGCATGATTAATTTTTCTGTTGTCAAAGTTATGGCTAAAATGGGAGAAATAGTATTATGCAAATTGTGGTGGTAGTGGTGCCTCTGGTTGTTGTGGTAGTGGTGTTTTTGGTTGTGGTGTTTTTGGTTGTGGTGTTTTTGTTCATATTTTTGTTTGGATTTACTAGTTCTTGTGGATTTACTCTGATTATGTATGTGAAGGATGTCTCTTTTGGGAGGAGTTTTGATTCCATGTGACAATGGGAGTCTTGACCATGTGTGACAATGGGGGGCATGGTGTGTTGGTGTAATGAGAGTTTATTTCTCTCCTATGTGTTGTTATGATGTGTTGCTATGATATTGTTTTGTGATGTCAGATAGAACGTCATGACATCTGGTCTCTGGTGATCTCTCTATGTGCTTGTTGTGTCTGTTGTGTGTGTCTCTGGTTGTTTATTGTTTGATGGTTTTCATGTATCTTGTATTTTGGAATTGTTTTGCTGCTGTTTTTTTTGTTCTTGTCTCCAGCTATATCAAGCAAAGGTTGTTTTAGCCAAAAAATTCCAGAGAGAGAGATTGTTAGGTCTGTGATTTATGATTGGCAGTGATTTTGTTAAAACTTGTATATCTCCAAGATGTTGTGACACATGTCTTAACATGTTGGTCAGACATCACTGCAGATAGATGTTGAGCACAATGTCATAACATGTTATACCAGAACATCAGTGCAGGTTTAGATTTTACTTCTTGGAAGATTTGTTTATAAAATATGAGATTTGGTATTGTTTAGTTCTCATATTGTCGCAGTCTAAGGAGGGCTATTTTAGAAACAATAGTTTTATACCCAAAGTGCTTTTGTTTCATAAAACAGATCTTGGAGACTTTTTAGGAAACTCTATATTTTGTGTAGAAGATTTTGCAGCAGATTTACAGCTGGAGTATTAGATATGCATGAAGAGCCCAAAGCCCATGCTTGCTAGTCTTTTTATAAGGACTTTCTAAACTTAATTCAACTGAAGAAAAAAACTGTGTATGAAATAAGGATTAGGGTTTTAGTTTGTTCATTGTTCATTGTGTGCCACTCTATTATCACTTTGATATTAGAGTTTGACTGAGTTTGAGTTATAATTTATCAATCACACACAAGCTTTTAAGCAAGAGTTGTCTTTGTTCATCAGTCATAAGCTTTTAAGCAGAACTAATTTTTGTCTTTGAAGAGTGTCTTCTACTTTTGTCTATTATTGTTAGTTTTGTCACTGATTTGTGATTGAAGGGAAGTGAAAGGGATCTCATATCTAAGAGAGACTTAGATAGAAATAACATGGGTAGTGATTAGGTGGGAAGTTTGTAAACAAACAATTGTTCAAAGCTTCAAACTATTACTATTATAGTAGATTTCCTTCCTAACTTGGAAGTCCCCAGATATAGGTGATGTTGCACCGAATTGAGTTAACAGTTATTTATGTTATTTATTTCCAACAATTTATTTTACTTGCATAATTTTTCTTATTACTATGACTAGTCTAGTATCAGTATCATAACATCTGGTTCGACATCTAGTATTTGTGTGCTAGAATTTCAACACCCTTTTTTTCTTCGTTACTCGCCTTCACCTTCTAAAAGCTTCCTTATGCAGACACGCCTTTTTTCTTTGTTATTCACCCTCTAGAAATGTCCTTCGATACACCTCATATTGCAAATTTTACAAAGTAGCTATTTAAAATACTCAGTTCCTATATATATATATATATATATATATATATATATATATATATATATATATATATATATATATATATATATATATATATATATATATATATATATATATATATATATATATATATATATATATATATATATATATATATATATATATATATATATATATATATATATATATATATATATATATATATATATATATATATATATATATATATATATATATATAAATTTATTCAGTCGAATTATCCAATTTAGTCATGCAATTTAATCAGTGACCAAATGATTCGACCAATGAACCACTAATTCAATATCTTCACTAATTTCATGACCGGTCTGATTTTTAAAATATTGAGTGTTACCACTAATTAATTCTATCTCCATTCTTAATTATAAGACCTTTTAAGTTTTTTTCTTGTCCCTTTTTATAAGTCTCTCTTCAACTTTTAAAGTGAATAATTATTTTTTTTCTAAACATACCCCTAATTATATTACATATTTTTTTACAATATGTAATAAAGTAATAAATACAATTAAATATACATTAATTATTTCTCTATCATTAAAATAAACTTGTAAGTTTATACAAAATATTTAATAAATTTATTACTCTAACAAACTTTCTTAATTCTTGTAATTTCTCAATTCTCGCAAATTTACTGAGGTCTTATATTTAAAGATAGAAGTAATAGTTAGTATTCTCTAATGGGTAACAAAATTCTCATTATAATTAAATGCTACATTTTATGAATAAAATCGATAAATGGGCCTCATTTAAGCTTCTTCTTTTATTATTGAATTAAATCACTATTTCTATTTTTTGCACAAACAAATTTTTCAAGTAGCCTTAGATAAACACAAACAATAAATAACAATACTTGATAATTAGTCTTCTGGGACACGATATCTTTTAAACTACATTGATACATCCGTTTACTTGCGGCCTATCACATGGTTAAATTTTTCATTATATTTTTCCTTCCTCGAGTAGATTTATGTTTGTTTGACAAAATACTTAAACATAGATAAAACCCAAATTTAGTGCCAATACTAACATCCTATTCACTTTTTAATAAACTGTAATCCGAAAATCCAGAATTTTGATATGGCAAGGAAATGGATGACATGATTAAGATTTTTTACCTGACTGAGACCAAATTTTACTCTGAAAAATACAAAACAACCGCTAAATATTGTTAGACTTGGTTTCTTTTTCACTTTTCACAGAAATGAAAGAAAAAATAACAAAGATGACATCATTTTAACAAAGGGGGTGCCTATAAGAGTATTAATTGTTTTTTCAGGCCATGGTAAATCATTTTAAAAAATGAACTACAATATTGAGATGCCATGAGCATGCGCTAAATGCATGCTGTTTTCATGTCTAGCAGCTTAAGTGGTAGTACATCATGACAAAGAAACGAAACTAAGTGCGTTTGGAAAAGTGACAAACACAGGACACTAACTCGAGGATTTGTAGCTTCAGTAACTCTTCGTTGAAACACTATTGGGATAGAATAAAATAAAATGTGCATCCAAACACTAAAACCTTTAGTAGCAGTAGTGCGCAAATTGGGTCCCTTCTGAAAAAATATCCAAATCCCAATTATCATGCTTTGCATTGCAAATACCTACTGTTTGGACCTTCCATGAGCTTGCACCATACGGTATGCCAAATTCCTAATCATGTTGAATAAGCAGTAATGTTCTCTGACCTATATATATGCTTGAAGGTAAAGAATTTGCATCTAAACAGTTACTCACATGTGATTATCACAATTACGATGAGATTTCAAAGTTTAACAGCATGAGAAGCAAAGAAACTTTCTCTCTTAAACATCTTCATCATCATTCTGTCTGGCATCCTGAATGTCGTTGTGATTGTGCTTCTGAGCTTTATACATTTCAGCAATCTGAAAGAAAGTGGTTAGAGCATGAAAAAATAAATCAATTTCATTTCCCCCATTACTCTTTCTCGATCTTCTATCATATACTGTTTAGTTGGATAACAATAGATTGTATGTACTTTACCTGCTCTGAAGAGGTGGCCTGTTCAGGAGCTTTGTCTGGCCGAACTCGAAGTAGACGCGGAAATCGCAGAGATATTCCCTTTATTTAGAAGAAAAAAATATAAAAGTACCACAAACAGAAGTTAAAAGCTACCATTACCATCTCCAGAACGTTAACAGGTAAAACTCCAAAATTAATTGCGACACTTGAATCAACAATTCAATGTTTCTTCAAATACCTACCTTATTGGGATCTACTGTTCCCACTGCAGCTCGGTAAACAGGGCTAATGGTCAGATCTGCGGCTTTTACCTCCCACACCTAAATGAAATAGGATAATATATTAACTAATGCAGAAAAGTTTGTCTGTGAGTACAATACAATTTTATTGGACAAAAATAAACTAAAGATAACAAGGCATTCGCAAAACCACATGCAAACCCAAATCTTGCACTTGTTTATAAATCACATTGCCTCAATTACTTAGTAGGGGGAAAATCACGTTGCAACAATAAGTTAGTAGGAGGAAAATCACATTGCCGCAACATGATGAAACTGTTCAGTCAAGAATGTTGTTACCTCACTAGCTTCAAACCAGACATCAGGTTTGACTGATTCTCCATATTGATAATATGCCTGAAATGAAAGGATTGCATTTGAATTAGTTCATGAAATACTAAGCTCACTCAGAGAAGGTTCAGAGAGAAACAGGAGCCAAGAACCTTTGGTTTGGGAATCACTTTAGTGCGAAGGCTAGTAGAACGTTCTTCAAGCACGTTTTCTGTGAATCCAGTTCCTACCCACCATAACATGAATAAGTGAGAAAATTAAGTTTAATAAATAAAAGAACTCTATACATCATAAAGTGCTCACCTATCTTACAAAGACCTTGAAATTCTTCCCTATCAGTGTCATAGCAAGCAAGGAGAAAAGCACCATACACTCCTACAAAACATCATGTAACCAATTCATTTCAGATCACTTTGAGTAAAGGTAGACGTTAACAGCACATAAAAATCTCCCAAGGCCTAGCTGGTGAAATATCGGCTAAAAATGGTAAGAAAAGTAACAAAAATAGGCCTCGGTATATTAAAGAGTGTGTTTCATAAACACCTGTGCGCTTCCCTCGACCAGCAAAAGCACCAATAGGTACCAAATCTAGCGAGTCCCCAATACTGCAAAGTTGAGTCAATATATAATTGGAGCCACATTAATACAAAAGTGAAATACGAATAAATGAGTAAATCAGCATTCTAGTGTGTAATTTTAAGGATCAATCAAGTTAGTTCCTCAAATTTACAAGTAGCAATTTAGTCCCTTAAAATGAACAACATCAATTAATTCCGTCCTGTTTCCAAATTTAGTACCACAATTTTAAAGGTTTTACGTTAGTCTTGATGCACCAAGAAATATTGATACAAGGACTAAATTGATTGAGGTTCTTTAATTTAAAAGACTAACCATCTCATAAATTTGAAGGACTAAATTGATTGACCCTTATAATTTTGATGATTTACTCTGAGAAAAATTGATATCGTGCCCTTACTTATCCATATAATCTTTCTTCAGTTTCAGCCAGTTGAGTGACCGCTTGGAGGGCTCATATGTGGCGTCTTCATGCAATGTTTTAATAATTAATCCCTCACAACTAAAAATTAAGAGATCAGGTAAATAATAAATGATCAAAATCCTAGCTTCATTATTTGTAAGAGAAACCAAATTTGGAAGAACTGGGGTTAGATATACAGTGCCTATCAAATGTTTCTCATAATAGTGTAATGACATGAATACAATTAAAGAGTAAATTATGCAGAAATATTGCTATATATTTCAACTGAAATCATGAAATTTCTATCCACATGAATTTAAATAACTAGAAGAATTTTAAAAACCTTGCATCAATAGCTTCGTCAAGAAATTTTTGTATCTCCTCAACATCATTTGATGTAGTTGATGTTGCAAACTGAAAGAATCCAGTCTCTTCCTCAAAAGAGCCGTACAGATGCTAAAGAGAGAAAATTAGGCCCTCATCAACATATAGTTCTTATATAAAAATATGAGAAGCAACTCATTTCAGACACATGATATACAATCAAGAATTATTTCTTAACACTATTCAATCGGCCTGGCTTCTCCAGCAAAAACTAAAAATATGTATGATCCCAATCTCATGTTTCCCAAAATTATTGCATTTCCACCTTTCGGCCAACTCTATCATGAATTCAACGATTTAATAAAGAAAAATAGTATAATGAAACTATTGGCAATGTAAAGATAAAAGGTGTTACCTCTCTACGGATTTTCAGGTTTTCTTGAAGAAGTGCTTGGCCATTGAGGTACAACAAATCAAAAGCAAATATGCAAACTTCAACCTTTATGTCACTCACGCTGACATTTTTGCGGGCCCGAGTACTAAGCACCTGGCAAGATATAAAAGTTAATATAACATTATCTATTCACAACTCACATAATATCAGAAAATGGAAATCTGTATCCCCAATATAGGTAAAAGTAAAACAATGCATACATCGATTACAAAAGGATTTTATTTTGATCGCATGACAATATTTCAGTTTTCCGGCTAATTAAATGATGTATTGACACACATAAAATAAAGGATTGGCAGTGAGATTACCTGGAAAGGAAGGATTCTCTGTTTTGCACGATCATATGCAACAAGTTCACAATCAAGAATAAAGGATGATACTGTTGTTTTCTTTAACCTGTTCACTGACAGCAAATATCAGAAACCATGATGTTGAAAAAAATTGTATTGGAAAGCAACTGGTGTACTTGTTTCAATATAATCAACAGTTACTAAGTTTGTTTCTGTAAGAATATTTTAAAATACCTCAACATATTATCTCTTAAAATTTGTTCTTGTACTTCCTTATATGTCATGGTTTGTTACCTTATTATTAGGATTCAAAGTTTAATATCTCAACATGACAGCCAACATATAATTCACATCATATAAATTTTAATTTTATTATCCCCAGTGTTAATTTCCTCCCTTTACATCTAAATGATTAAACCCTATAATTTCAATAGTATCATTATTGTACCTGTTACTGATCTGACCTGATCAGAAGGTTTGGACCGTCACGGCTGGCTCCGAGCAGAAAGCTTTTTTGAACGAGGTGGGGGTACCTGCAAGACACTCCGATGCTGAAGTAAGTAGGAGTACGAGCAGATAATAGAAGTTGAGGTTAGAATGATGAATACCTGACCCTCTGGAAGCAGAGGGTATTTATAGCCCCCAGCGCTGGGCCAAGGTTCCTTCATTGGGCCGGGCGGATTTGACCCAATGGAGGAACTGTCAGGTTCTACATGGGTAGTGGGGACCCGCACGTGGTCCCCTTCCTGGATGTCCTGCGTGACGTGCGGGCGGACGAAGACGCGGTCTTTCCGGAGTATCGTTGGGGGAACGGTGGACTGAATCTGCCTTAACTGGGTTGCTCGAGCCCACGTCGGGCTGGACAGCAGGGCGTCGAGCTGGACGTTAGGACGTCGAGCTGGACGTCAGGGCGTCGAGCTGGACGACAGGAGGTGGAGCTGGACATCATCGCGTGAGTTAGATAGCGGGGTGTCGAGCTGGACATCAGGGTGTCGGGCACGGATGTGACTCCTTTGCCCGGCATGGACCTCCGTAAGCCCCTTTGGATTGGGCCTTAGTAATGCTTTTGGGCCTGTCGGGCCCAGTCCAGAACAGGAGCCCCCAAGTCGTGGTTCCTTGGCGAGGAGCCATGACTTGAACCAAAGTTATTCCCTCGTTGAGGTCTCGTGCCCGGGATAGACGTGGGGGTCCTTCGAGGGGCCTCCTCTTGTCGTGCTCGAAAACGTCCTCGGAGATGGATGCGCGGGGAATCCTTGTCGGGCGCGTCGGTCGAGCACACGAGGTATCTTTCGGGAATTGTGCCGCCACCCTATAGGGGTAGGGCCATTATTGCGTTGGGGGCAGTGCGTCGAGGAGATGGAGTCCGTGGTTGCCCGAGGTGACGTTTGGTATTCCACGTCATCACTATAAATAGGAACCTTGGGCCCCATAATACGTTTTCCGCTCTCCGTGCTCTCTCTGTTGCTGCTCTCCCACACTTTCTCCAGTTGCGACTTCTCGTCTCAGATTCTTCCATTTCGTAGCCAGATCCCACACTTTGATCCAAGTAAGTGATCTACTTTCTTCATTTTCCCGTTTAGAATGCATGATTCCTGGAATTTGTAGATGTTTTAGGACCGTGCGCGTGGGATTAGCCCGGTAAACTCGTATTTAGCCCGACGTATTCATGTCTAGGACCGGCAAACGCATGTTTGTGGCCGGCACATTCATAGTTTTAGGTGAAAAACTTCAGGGTTGCCCGGGGTCTTCATGATCCAGGGCGCCTGATTCATGATCGCGCCCGGTACGTTCATGGTCGTGGTCGTGGGCTTCATGGTGCGGCTCGTCATGTTCATACCTCAGTTCGACATGCTTGAAGAGTGGTCGCGCAATTGGTTTGAGGAAGACCACCGGGTTCAGGGAGTCGGGGAGGCGTCCATTTGTGGAAACGGACTTATGTAGTCGTGTATTGGACGACGTGATTTTGTCGAGCGTAGGACTTCGTGCTCAACTGACTGGTTTCCCGTGCTCTGCAGGTAACCATGGCGGACGAGCCGAGCTCCTCCGGACGTCGTGATCGTGAAGAACAGAGTGCCGACGAATCGGTCACCCTGATTGACACCGTGACCGACCCATTGCTGGAATGGGTGGGTGTCGAGCCGCGGGGGACAGCGTCGGTATATAGTCGGGATGACCGACATCCATTCACTGCTATTGAAGAGGGTCAAGACGAGCCCGGCTTCCAACAAAACTTCGTAGTCATGATTCCGTCGACCGGCGCAAGGATTTGCTCGGTCTATCCGAATTACAGCCTCGCGATGTATGAGATCGCGTTTAAAGACCTAGGGCTGCGGCTGCCGTTTACTGATTTTCAGGCCGGGGTCTTTATGCACTTGGAGCTGACCCCGTCCCAGCTACACCCAAACTCTCTCGCCTTCATCCGGGCGTTTGAGTTGACGTGTCGCTACCTGAGTTGACGTGTCGCTACCTGAGGATAGGGGCGACCATCCCTCTTTTCTTTCGGGTATTTCACCTGCAGCGTCAGTCCCGAGGAGGTAAGCATAGCTGGGTCTCCCTGAAGCAGTCGAGGAGACTTTTTAAGATGTATATGGACTCCGTGAGGGGGTTTAAAGACAAATGGTCCGTGGTACGCCCAATTACCGATGCTGCTTTAGATTCCCTGTTCGAAAAGGAGGGGCCAGTGAGCGACGATGATGGGGAAACGATGGTGGCCGACGACGGGAGCCCCGTGTTGGGTCGTAGGGCTAAGTTCCCGGTGTACTGGATGTCCCGACATTACGAGCATGGGACAGGTTATTACCATACCGCTGTCGGGGACATGTGCTCGGAAGATCAGCGGGCGTACGACGCTCTTTGCCGGTTTGTCGACAGTTTTCATCCCGCCCGATGGGTTACGCGGGAAGGGGATGATATTCCATAAATTTAATCTTTAAAATATGGCGATAGCAACGATGTGAGAATCCACTATGGAGGATTCATGTGATATGCCTGTTAGGATGTTGCGACATTTGATATTACAATAACGTCATTTCCGGGCTGTTTTGTTGAGAGAAAAATAATGTTTGATCAAAAGAGAAAATACCATGAATCATAGCTAACTGAGTATAGTATTGGAGCAAGGTATTAAAGAAAAAAAATAAATGTTTGGTTTTATATATTTACAAAGAGATCATGTGTTGCAAAGAAGTCTTCTATTTTACCAGGCGGGCAGCTTGCCTGTATGTCGGACACTCCACCAGCGCCTTGGTGTCGATCGGGCGAGACTCGAACGTCGGGTAACCGTCTTTGTCCAGGATATCATCCCCTTCCCGCGTAACCCATCGGGCGGGATGAAAACTGTCGACAAACCGGCAAAGAGCGTCGTACGCCCGCTGATCTTCCGAGCACATGTCCCCGACAGCGGTATGGTAATAACCTGTCCCATGCTCGTAATGTCGGGACATCCAGTACACCGGGAACTTAGCCCTACGACCCAACACGGGGCTCCCGTCGTCGGCCACCATCGTTTCCCCATCATCGTCGCTCACTGGCCCCTCCTCCTCGAACAGGGAATCTAAAGCAGCATCGATAATTGGGCGTACCACGTACCATTTGTCTTTAAACCCCCTCACGGAGTCCATATACATCTTAAAAAGTCTCCTCGACTGCTTCAGAGAGACCCAGCTATGCTTACCTCCTCGGGACTGACGCTGCAGGTGAAATACCCGAAAGAAAAGAGGGATGGTCGCCCCTATCCTCAGGTAGCGACACGTCAACTCAAACGCCCGGATGAAGGCGAGAGAGTTTGGGTGTAGCTGGGACGGGGCCAGCTCCAAGTGCATAAAGACCCCGGCCTGAAAATCAGTAAACGGCAGCCGCAGCCCTAGGTCTTTAAACGCGATCTCATACATCGCGAGGTTGTAATTCGGATAGACCGAGCAAATCCTTGCGCCGGTCGACGGAATCATGACTACGAAGTTTTGTTGGAAGTCGGGCTCGTCTTGACCCTCTTCAATAGCAGTGAATGGATGTCGGTCATCCCGACTATATACCGACGCTGTCCCCCGCGGCTCGACACCCACCCATTCCAGCAATGGGTCGGTCACGGTGTCAATCAGGGTGACCGATTCGTCGGCACTCTGTTCTTCACGATCACGACGTCCGGAGGAGCTCGGCTCGTCCGCCATGGTTACCTGCAGAGCACGGGAAACCAGTCAGTTGAGCACGAAGTCCTACGCTCGACAAAATCACGTCGTCCAATACACGACTACATAAGTCCGTTTCCACAAATGGACGCCTCCCCGACTCCCTGAACCCGGTGGTCTTCCTCAAACCAATTGCGCGACCACTCTTCAAGCATGTCGAACTGAGGTATGAACATGGCGAGCCGCACCATGAAGCCCACGGCCACGACCATGAACGTACCGGGCGCGATCATGAATCAGGCGCCCTGGATCATGAAGACCCCGGGCAGCCCTGAAGTTTTTCACCTAAAACTATGAATGTGCCGGCCACAAACATGCGTTTGCCGGTCCTAGACATGAATATGTCGGGCTAAATACGAGTTTACCGGGCTAATCCCACGCGCACGGTCCTAAAACATCTACAAATTCCAGGAATCATGCATTCTAAACGGGAAAATGAAGAAAGTAGATCACTTACTTGGATCAAAGTGTGGGATCTGGCTACGAAATGGAAGAATCTGAGACGAGAAGTCGCAACTGGAGAAAGTGTGGGAGAGCAGCAACAGAGAGAGCACGGAGAGCGGAAAACGTATTATGGGGCCCAAGGTTCCTATTTATAGTGATGATGTGGAATACCAAACGTCACCTCGGGCAACCACGGACTCCATCTCCTCGACGCACTGCCCCCAACGCAATAATGGCCCTACCCCCATAGGGTGGCGGCACAATTCCCGAAAGATACCTCGTGTGCTCGACCGACGCGCCCGGTAAGGATTCCCCGCGCATCCATCTCTGAGGACGTTTTCGAGCACGACAAGAGGAGGCCCCTCGAAGGGCCCCCACGTCTATCCCGGGCACGAGACCTCAACGAGGGAATAACTTTGGTTCAAGTCATGGCTCCTCGCCAAGGAACCACGACTTGGGGGCTCCTGTTCTGGACTGGGCCCGACAGGCCCAAAAGCATTACTAAGGCCCAATCCAAAGGGGCTTACGGAGGTCCATGCCGGGCAAAGGAGTCACATCCGTGCCCGACACCCTGATGTCCAGCTCGACACCCCGCTATCTAACTCACGCGATGATGTCCAGCTCCACCTCCTGTCGTCCAGCTCGACGCCCTGACGTCCAGCTCGACGTCCTAACGTCCAGCTCGACGCCCTGCTGTCCAACCCGACGTGGGCTCGAGCAACCCAGTTAAGGCAGATTCAGTCCACCGTTCCCCCAACGATACTCCGGAAAGACCGCGTCTTCGTCCGCCCGCACGTCACGCAGGACATCCAGGAAGGGGACCACGTGCGGGTCCCCACTACCCACGTAGAACCTGGCAGTTCCTCCATTGGGCCAAATCCGCCCGGCTCAATGAAGGAACCTTGGCCCAGCGTTGGGGGCTATAAATACCCTCTGCTTCCAGAGGGTCAGGTATTCATCATTCTAACCTCAACTTCTATTATCTGCTCGTACTCCTACTTACTTCAGCATCGGAGTGTCTTGCAGGTACCCCCCACCTCGTTCAAAAAAGCTTTCTGCTCGGAGCCAGCCGTGACGGTCCAAACCTTCTGATCAGGTCAGATCAGTACCCATCCTATATCATCTGCCCTTATAACAATTCCAATGTTGAGTTTCTCCAAACTCTGAAAATCTAATATCACAACGACTTTTTGTTGTTATGGTCCCTTATCCATATCATCTATATGTTTATTTTCTTTTACCAGACTGTCCAGACAAGCATGAATTCCAATCACCCTTGATGTGCTATATACATTTATCCCAAACACACTTCTTGTGGAGTCCAAATACATTTTTCTTAACCCAAATTGACTTTCAATCATGTTTTGTTGAGTTGGTATACATTTTTCTTTTTATAGCTTCTGTGAGAATTAATTAAAAAATATCCCAGTGCAACAATATTCTATCATAAAATTAAAACATATTAAAGTATCTTAAATTACATCTTAGGATGGGTTTCTATATTTCCTTATATATCATAATTTGCCAAAACACCCAATGTATCATTCACACCATATCAATATACTTAATTAGTATTCTGAATATCATTTTATCTCCTTTTATGATTACAAGATTAAACCCTAAAAATTTAAACAGTTTAATTAAATGCAGCTTCAATTGGTTTGGAAAATGCTCATAATTGACACAAAGATGCTACCAGACCTCGAACATTATATTTACAACTCAGTTTGATAACTTTTACCTTGAAACTGCCGCAACAACATCAGGAAACTTCCCAGTGTTCCGTTCAGCATTTCTACTGTAAATCTCTACTGAGCCATTCTCCAAGTAATGTATCTGTCTCAATACAAGTAATGTTATTGCATATAATAAGCATCATAAGTGTATTTCTGATGGAATATTTGATCATGAAGCATCACCTGAGCACGCTCTCCATCATATTTGTATTCACATGTAAACTCTACATCCTGAAACTTATTTAGAATTTCAGCTACACCTTTGGTTGCTTTTGACAGCATAGGCCCAACAGGAACACCGGGAGTGAAATCACATTTCTTTGGAAGTTCCCATACACCATGTGAAAGAAGTGCAGACACAATTTTGTCATAGTCGGGAAGAACAGAATAGACTTTTTTAACAATTTTAGCAGCCTGATGAAAAATGAAATCAGAAGTCAAAAACATATAGGTAAAAGGAAAGTTGATATCATCATCAAATGTATTGACACCTCTCAACAGCAGCTACCAATCTCAAACTTTTTGTGCTGATGCACCCCTAAAGGTTTTAAACCAAAGCACATATCGCCATTCACGCTACTTCATTAAAATTAACTCACCTCTTCAAAAGGAGACTGAATTTCATGAGGCGGTTTAGAATGTTCTTCAGAATACACTGCAGCATGACCTAATGCAGCTAAGAGAGTTTGCTCGGCATATCCAATTCGCAATTTTGACTGGAAAAGAAATCCAAGTCATTGACATGGTGAAGTAAACCCATCAGATTATTTGAATAACAAAAAAGAATAGCAACCTGTAGCAAACGGATTATGTATAGAGGTTCACAGTCAATTGCAGCAACAAGAAGTGACTTTATGTGATTCTTTTTCTTCTCTTGACTGTCTTTTCCAGATTCCTGTAAATATTTATAACTAAGAAAATCAGTAGCAAACTCTAACTCTCAACTTAAAATTATTCCAAATCCCAATAAACCCATCTTCCCTTATTGTATAGGATACAGATCATGCATATAATTTTTTAAGTAACATAAGCACAAACAACAAAACACTAACAACCGGTGAAAAAATTGATTTCCCTTAGCCTTTAGAAAAAGACATATGTCTGCAAGATAGAAAAAACTATAACAAACTAAATTCTCTCAAACACACTATTTTGGTGCATGCAATATCCAAATAAACGTCTAACCGTGATTGAGTATCTAAGACGCGAGCTGAAAATGGTTGTTGTGTTTTAATGACGAGTATCAATTGGGGAACAGATAAACAGTCCAAGTCTTTTATGTCAGACTATCTGAAATTCATATTTGCGAATTGTGTTTTGACATTATTAGAGAGTTACAACTAAGTACCAAAAAATGGCCCATTCTTCATTCGGGTTTTTTCAATAATTGTCAAATTGCAGAGTAACCCAATGATTAAAGCTTTATCCTATGCATTGAAACACCAACTTACATTGCTTACTAGTTACTGTACAATACTAAAACGAATTATACATAACAAACCCAAACATTTTAGGAAGATTAAACTCTAATAGAACCAGAATACAAGAATTAGGATGTAAATGACGTAAACCACAGAAGAGAAAACTTCTGGAACTGTATTAATTGATGGAGTACAATGGATGGAGAAGATTCTCCTTGCAATAGTGGAAAATTAAATGCTAACTGAATGATACTCTAAGTGAGAATATCCCCTACTGAGTTGAGAATTGCTCTCACTCCTCAGTCCCAATTTCAACTTCAAAACCAACCCCCTTCCCCCATGACTAAATTATGTTCCCTGATTCTCTCGATCCTCGTGACCCCCTTGCATGCATACACCCTCTCTTTCTTTTCCTTTTCTACCCTTCCTTTCTATAAACATATTTTGGAGGCCTATCAAACAACAAAATTAGCAGTAAAATACCTTTGCAATAAGATGAAATATGTTGAACACCTTTGTAATAGTCAAAGGTTCAGGCTTCCGCATCATAGACTGCGATGATCGGCTAGCTTTCGCAACTAAGCCCAAGTCACCTTTTTCCTGTCAACAACCAAAAAAAAAAAGGAATTAACATCTTAAATAAGATAGCAAACACACTAATCTAAAAACTTTAACAACAAAACACCTTGTACTGATTCTTAATCTGCTTCTCGGTCCTTCCATACGCCTCCGCAAGCGCCTTAATAATAGAAGCATCACCAATCCCCAATTCTAACCCTACATGAGCCGGAGCAATTCTGTTCGCAGATAAATAAACAACCGAAACAAGATCATCCGGCGCAGCGTGTATAACAGTCCTCAACAGATTGCACACAATGTCAGTCATCACAATCCTCCCACTCTCGGCTGCAATCATGTCAAACGCCAAACAGAGTAACAAAAACGGCACAGGCTTGTCTTTCTCCCAGCAAGCAACCTCACTCGGGTCAAAACTCGACGGTTTCTTCTTCAGCTGCGGAACTCGTTCCTTCAATTCGGCGACTACGTCCTTAGGAGAAGGTAAAGTGTTACGGATCTTGCTCGGAGGTTCTTCCTGGACAGTTTCATGGGGTTGTTGAACTGATTCAACTGTTTCTAGGGTTTTGAGGTTGGTGTTAGGGTTTTGAGCGGAGAGTGTGGATTGAGGAGGTTTAGGCAAAGGCGAAGGCGGAGGAGATTTTCTTTTCTTGGGAGATGAGGATGAGGTAGGCGGAGGGGGTTTCTTCTTGGCGGCGGCGGCGCGTGCGCCGGACATGAGGGCGTCGAAGGCGGAGGGGCGAGGTTTTGACATTGCACGGCGAGGGGTTGAAGAGAGAGGGAATGAGAAATTGAAAGGGATTACGGAAGAGGAGTTAACGGAAATGCGGGTAGATAACTGAAGAGAGAAACACGGTTTGAAAAGCGATGATAGCATGAAATGAAATGAAATGGATGGAATGGTGTTGGCGGAAAAGATTAGAAAAATGGCGGGAAAATAGATTTGGGAGACCTTTGTGTGTGTATTGCTCCAATATTTAGTTTTTGTGTAACTTGGAAAATTCTTAAATAGTACTAACTAATTAATTTAAGTGTGACATGGTGCAAAGATTGTGGCATGACCCTGGAGACATAAAGCATATCAACCAAATTGATATATGCCTCGTTCTCAAAGTGAATCAATCACAAATTATTTTTCAATTTCGTCTTATCTCATTGTACTGTACAAGGTGTTAAGCAAGATTCTTGCCAACATACTCAAAGTTTGTATTTTGAAATGGATCTTTTCGGAAGAGATATCTATGAGAACATGATGAAAGGAAAGAAAGGATGCTTTATGATCAAAATAGACTTATTCAAAGTATATGATAAGAATAGTTGGGACTTTATTTGACGAGTTTTTGTTGAAATTCAACTTCATGTGAATATGATCGACATCATCATGCATGCAGTTTCTAGCACTGAGACCAATGTTAAGTGGAATGGAGCCATGAGTAATTACTTTAGACCGTAACGAGGCATTCATCAAGGAGGTCTTATTTCTCCTTATTTATTTGTGTTGTGCGTTGAGAAGTTGTCTCATCTCATCTTGGAGGTTATGCACAATAAGAAATGGAAGGCTTTGCGGTTTAGTAAAGAGGGGCCTTGGTTGTCTCATTTAATGTTTGTTGATGACCTCTTACTGATAAATGAAGCTAATGAATGCCAAATGGAGTGTGTGATGAGAATACTTCATAAATTTGGTAATTCATAAATTTGGTAATATGTCGGGTCAGGAAGTTAATAAAGACAAAATTTGCATCATGTTCTCTAAGAATGTGCAAAGAGGGTTGAGAAATAAGTTGATTCAGGTTTCGGGCTTCCAAGAAAAACCATACATGGGGAAGTATCTGGGTGTCCCCATTAGTGGTAAAGACCTTTGAAGACAAGATTACCAATATCTGATAGAGCATATTTTAGCAAAATTATTCAATTAGAAAGCTAACAATTTGTCTTTTGGAAGAAGATTGACTTTAACAAGAGTGTGTTGGAAGCGGTTTCGATTTATCTAATGATGACGGGTATTCTTCCTAAAGCTTGCATTGAAGATATTCAGCGAATGCAAAGGATTTTTTAATGGGGTGACAATATAAAGAAGAAACAAATGCATGTGGTTAGTTAGGACACTATAACTAATCCGAAGGAGAAATGAGGTCTAAGTTTGAGGAAACTTGATTACTTTAATAAAACTTGCTTCATGAAATTAGTTTGGGAATTGCACATCCATTAGGACAAGCTTTTTGTGCAGTGTGTTGAGGAATAAATACATAATCCCGAATAATCATAATGTTAGCTTCAAGAGTATTGATTCTAAAATTTAGAGGGATTAGTCAAGACAGATCAAATGATGTGTAGCATTGGCAACTGGTGCATCGGAAATGGTGAATCAATACAGGCTTAGACAGATTGTTGGATAGAGCATGGAGTTGTCATTAGTGAGCTTGATGTTGGGATACCCGAGGAACTCTTTCATGTCAAAGTTTGTGATTTAGTTACAGCATAAGGTAATTGGAATTGGCAGGTGCTTTCTTAGTGGCTTCTCGATGGCATTAAGCAGAAGATCATCGTTATTCTTCCGCCTCGAAGTGAGTATGGTAACAACGAATATCTGTTTGCGGGCTTCAGCAGACACCAGTTTTCAGTGAAAGTCAAATACCATAATATTACGATACATGATGGTAATGCTACGGTAGGCATGGCAAAAAAAACCCAGACCCGCTGGGCCCTGCCCGGACCCGCCCCGAAATTAACGGGGAAAACCCGGCTAAAACGGGTACGGGTGCGGGGGCGGGTAAAACCCGGTTTCTAACTATGGGTGCGGGGGCGGGGGCGGTAAGACACTGAGACCCGCCCGCACCCGCACCCGCCCCGCCCCGAATAATCCAATTACTATAATAACCTTGTTTTAATTATTTTTATGTTACTTTTATTTTCTCAGCTTCTTAAAAGCTTTGATGTGTGCAAGAAGTTGGTTATGGAGTGCTGAGAATAATGGTAAAGATCTTTCTTGTTTATATTTTTTATTTTTACTTGCCAAGACTATCATTGACTATATTTTACTATATTGATAGGTAATTTGAAATCTAACGTGGGAAATGAAAATGCTATTTTACTAACTGAAATGGAGTCTGATGATGAAGGTATTATTCATACTATTTGTATTAAATTTGTCAAGTTAAATTTTTATATTTTAACTTTTATTTTTTAACACAGGTGAGTTGTTGATTGATGGTGCTACTTCTATTTCCAACTCCCGCCTCGAAGATGAAGATTATTAGAAAATTTGTTGTTTATTTGGATCTTTTTTTGTTATGATGATATCGTATATTTTGTTCCATGTTGTTGGAATGGTTATTTTGTTCCATGTTGTTGGAATGGTTCTTTTGTTGATTGTATTGTTTTAATTTTGTATTTGTACTTTGCAAAAAAATTGTTGGTTGTTGGGAGTGATTTATACTTTGATATATTGAAAGATTACACTCTTTTAATGAATCACAAGTTCACAACCAATTATAGTTGATTGAAGGGTTATGATAGAAAAATATTTGGAATGGTGTTTGAATATTAAATCCTACAATTATTTACTCAAATCAATGGAGAATTTTGTATTTTTAATGTATTTGTTAATGCTGTCCAGGAAATTTGTGAAAAAAATAGATATTTTTTTATTTAAAAAAACAGTTTCGCGGGTGGGGGCGGGTGCGGGTGACCCGTTCTCCATTGGGGGCGGGTCTGGGGGTGAATTTCCATCCCCCGACGGGTTTGGGGGCGGGGGCGGGTCTATTACTGAAGTTGCGGGTGCGGGTGCGGGGTTAGCTAAACCCGCCCCCGACCCGCCCCGTTGCCATCCCTATGCTACGGGTATTCTTTGGAGTAAATTATGGGGGTTGAAAGTGCAAGAGCGAGTCTACTTCTTTATCTAGCTCTTGGCACACGATCGTATCACATCAAATTTCCTCTTGAGTACTAAAGGGTTAGGTAGCGCTAGGTGCCACCTTTGTGGATGTGTTAAAGAAACTGCTTTACATGTTATGAGGGATTGCAGTTTTGCCATGCATCTTTGAGGCAGTAGGTTTTCTAGTAGCATTGCTAATGTTTTTTATAGCTCGGATCTGATAGATTGGATAAATATCAATCTTAACACCAATAACTCTTAGGCTAGCTATTGGGAAATAAGCTTCTATAGTTTGTGTATTTGGAGGAACAAGGAAAGCCATGATCGAAATTATAGAAGACCATCAGCTACTAATGGTCTTGTTCATAATAGGGTTAAAGAATACGCAGCTTCGGTGAAGATTCAAGGGTAATGGATAACCGTGAGAGAAGTTTGATTAATGTCGGTTGGAACCCACCAATACGGGGTGGGTTAAGCTTAATACAGATAGGGCTCATATTGCTAACACAATTGTGGGATGTGGCAGTATCATTAGGAGCATGGATGGAGTCTGCTTAGGAAGTTTCTCCAAATTTTTAGGACACTGTAGTGTTATAAAAGCGGAATTGTGGGGTGTCTTCGAAGGCCTCAAGATCCTTAAAGAGTTAGGCTTAACGAAAGTTGAAGTTAATGTGGACTCCATTATAGTTGTTGACATGATTAGCACCGGTAGAGCAACAAATATGGACAACTTAGCTTTAGTTAATCAAATCACCAACCAAGTGCAAAGCTTTAAAGAGGTGAAAGTTTCTAATTGCTATCGTGAAGCCAATTTATGTGCGGATGCGTTAGCAAAGTTTGGAGCCACTAGCGGCGTTGAAGTCTTTTTTAAAGAAGATTACCCGGGTTTTATTTCTAATTTGCTTAATAATAATGTGTTAGATGTTTCGGTTCCGAGGTTATAGTCGTTGTAAGTTCTTATTTTTGGGCCTATGGACCTCCATTCCACAAAAAAAATACATTTTTACAAACAATCAATTATAATTTTTTTATTAATTAAAAAGTAGAAATAAAATAAAATAATACTTGTAATAGTTTTTTTAAGGCTAAAGGTGGGTCTAAGCCCACAAATTAAAAGAAAAACTTATGTCCAAAAATGATGGGGATAAAGGTCTGAACCTCAAACCTAGCAAACTCTAAAACTAAGAAGATCTAGTGTATTTTTAATGAAATGTATAGCTACATTGGTATGTATTTCATCCTACCATGTATAGTTAGTAACTATCAAACATAAATTAGTCAGCTTATCTGCACAGTGATTCTCTTCTCTATAAATATGAGTAGCCAAAAAATAAGAATTTTGAAGAGCTTAAGTATAGGTGTCTCATTTATTCCTTAATGTCCAAGGCACCGTATATGGTTTACTGGAAGCAAGCACAACAAGTTTTTAATCACTTTTCAACCAAAGTCGATTCCAATTTTGGTTCGAAACATGTTCCATCGCAAGAATGGCACCCGTTAATTTTGCTAATAAAGCATTTTATTGACCAAGGTTGCATACAAATCTTCCCATGTGATCACTATTGTGATTTTTGAAAATACCACCGCAAGAAGCCATAAGAGGAGTCCCTCCCGAAGCATCGTCCGTGTTAACTTTAATCCAATTAAGGGAAGGCGAACACCACAAAACCTCCTTACAAATATGATTCAGAGGATGCCAAAAAAACATTGAAATTCTTTAAGATCACAAAGTCTTAAATTTAAGAATTGGTGCATTTAGAAGTGTTATTTCCATACAGAGCAGTGAGCGAAAAAATGAAAGAACAAGCAGAATTGCAACTGGTATAAGTGTTTTAAAATTTGCAATAAGATGTACTTGATATACAATCAGAGGTATAATTAAACCAGCATGTATTAATAAACACACAAAAGTGTGTAAAAAGAATGAAAAATGCAATGTACATGACAAATAAGTTCTTATGCCTGAAACTGGAGGAATAGTTCATGTTTCTGAAACTGGAGGA